CTCAAGTATCCGATTACTTATCATATATAACCTGCTTGGGTAATCGCTAGGCGAATCTTTAGTTTTACTGAACTTAAAAACATATAGAGCTTTAGGTCTAAGAAGCTTTCTATACAATTGTGAGATAATACTTTAATTTGTTTTCTATTTTATACGTGTATATTTAAATTGACCTTTCTTATTGTAATTATTAATGTTTTTAGAGCAATCAACAATTTACCATGGTATACTGCATTTCTTGAACTCTAAAACCACAATGGCACCAAACTTTTGAATTTCCTGATGATGGCATTCCTCTATCTTTTCACGTGAAAGATCATAGGACATGTTTACTTCAAGGGTTACTAAACGGTGTTTATTAAGACTCACGTTAATAAGCAATGTTGTAAGATCGTTTTTACTTCAAAGGGTTTAAAACACTGTTTAACATTAAAATGTCCAAAATAACCTTATACATATACAGACACACAAATATTCATGAACACTATAATATAATATGTGAGGTCACCTCGTATGTGTACCCATACCCCCTTACCCCCTACAACCCGCCCACCCCCGCTTACCCCCACCCCTAACCCCTAACCCCGTACTCCTACCCCTACCCTACCATACCCTACCTTACCTCGACCCCACCCCACTCTTACCCCCACCTTACCCTATCATACCCAGCCCTACCCCCTATCCTACCTTACCCCAACCTCGACCCCACCCTACCCACAATCCCCACCCTTTACACCTAACCATGACCAAACCCCACTCCCTGCACAATTTGCCCTTACCTTGGCCCCACCCCGACCCCACCCCTATCATACCCCCTACCTCGGCCCCACCTAGATCCCGGCCCCACCCTATCGCCATCCTACCCCCCACGTAGGGCGTGGTGGGTCGGGGGTGGGACCAATGTGGTAGAGGGTTGGAGTAGGGTGGTAAGGGCCTAGGGGTTAGGTGTAGGATGTGGTCGGGATGGGGCCGATGGGGCACGGTGTTAGGGCCTGGGGGTAAGGGGTAGGGTTTGGCAAAAGTGGGGTGAAGTTGGGGTAAGGTAGGGTAGGAGTAGGAGTAGGGTAAGACATGGTGGGGGTCGGGTTGGGGCCGATGTGGTAGGGGTGGGTGTTGGGTGGTGGGGTCGGGGTTGGGCTGATGTGGTAAGGTGTGGGTACGGTAGGAGTGGTAAGGGGCCTAAGGTGGGGTCAGGGTTATAAGGTTGGGTAGGTGGGCTAGGGGTAAGGTGGGGTCGGGGTAGGTAGGGTAGGGGTAGGAGTATGGTAGGATAGGATAAGGTGGGGTCGGGGTGGGGCCGATGTGGTAGGGTTTGGGTAGGGTGGTAAGAGCCTAGGGGTTGAGGTAGGGCAGGGGGTGGTAAGGGGCCTAAGGGGTGGGGGTGGGTCGGGGTAAGGTAGGGTAGGGTAGGGGGTGGGTCGGGGTAAGGTAGGGTAGGATAGGTGGGGTCGGGGTGGGGCCGATGTGGTGGGGGGGTAGGTTGGGGTTGGGTGGTAAGGGCCTAGGGTAGGGGGTAGGTTAGGGGAGGGCCTAGGTGTGGGGTCGGGGTAAGGTAGGGGTTTGGGGTCGGGATTGGGTGGGGCCGAGGTAGGGGTGGGTGGGGGTGGCAGGTAGAGGGGTAACAATAGAGTAAGGGCAAGGTGTAAATTCGGAAACTGAAAAAGCTTAAAGTGTCGCTTAATTAATGCATGGGGGTGGTATGCTAAGCAACGTGCGTGTTTACTTCACCTGACTTACTAACCTAACTGTGACTTTAGCAGCGAAGTAAACACATCCATAATCTTTTTATCCCAAAAAGAAACCTAGGTGATTGTGTTACAGACTGGTGAGAAGAAGTATATATTATATCCGAGAGGGGTGCAAGCATAGACTCAGGAGGTGTTGTCCTGGGTTATCTAACAGATTGGACCAGGAGCTTTTCTTTTACTTCAAGGCTAGAGCACTGCACAACTTAAACTAAATGTACCGGGAGTCTGGGACCACAACTGAGCATAGATAGGCAAGTAATTTTTAAGAAAAGGGCATAGCGCGCAAACGCAGCATATGAATTATCACCCACTGGTCAAGGGCATTTGACTAATCTTACAGTTCTCGAATCAGCTCTTAGTAGGGGGTCTGCCACACAGGGAGTTCGGACATTAAAAGTCTCCTTTCTTTATCTAATAAGAAGCTAGGAATCTGTCCCTAGCGCTAACAGGTAGGTAGAGTGGAATATTTGGTCAAGATTCCTTGCTTATTGATTAGTTCTAAAATTCCTACAAGACAGACTCAATCAGCATATACCTCGGTAGAGGAAGAAGCAACAAGAAAAAGGAAGCGCTAGCTAGGTAGTACGGAGTATAAGTTAAAAAGACAGCTTTAGGTCTAAGAAACTTTCTATACAATTGTGAGATACTACCTCCGTCCCTTAAAGCTTTGCCAAGTTTGATCGGCACAGAGATTAACAAAGTAAAAACTGTGTGGTTGTTGTTTGTGCAGAGGAGAGAGAATTAATTGGAACCACAAATTCTTTACTAAAAAGAGAAAATTGCAAAGTTAGTGGGACATCAAAAAAGGAAAGTTGGCAAAATTTTAAGGGACGGAGGGAGTAATACTTTAATTTGTTTTCTATTTTAGATATATAAAAGATCAAACTGATGCAGACAGATGGTTGATGAGGATAACTATGCTATGTGCTTTACTCCCTATTAGTGATAAGGTATTTCTAATCCTAGCATACAAATTACTTCTAAGAATTGTTTTAGTATGAAAATGAAGTACCTATTCATAGATTTGCAACTATTTTTTATTGCAAGGGTTTATTTTACTGTTTTTTATAAAATGGAAATCTTTCTATTTCCTAATAGTTGGGCTATTATGATTTAATTTCATATGAATCCCTTGTTCTTTGCAGAACTCTATTAATACAGCTTATTGTGGTTCATTTTGGTTTAATGTGATGATTGTTTTATTGTTGTCATACTTGCTTTATTATTTAATTTGTTGGTGCAGGTTTTGTTTAGTTAATTATTTCTTGCAAAGTAGAGAATGCATACAAAGAAAGGCTGAGTAAGGAGCAACCATAAGCTTTTTATCTCTTATGCATTGTTTGGTTGTCTGAGGACTTTATTGATACCGAGCTCTCTCGGTTTATTGCTGCTGGTAAGCTACATTGCAAGATTGACAAAGTTGATGCAGTGTTAGAAACAAACCGCCCTGATGCTAAGAATGCCCTATACCAGGCCACCCTTAAACAAGGGGATTTCTTGTTGAACCAAATCCAAAAGCTTTCGTGAGTTATTGATCTTTAAGGCATTATCCTCCTGCTCTAGCACACCCATTCCATATGTAATCATTCACCTCCCCTTGAACATCGAAGTATGGTTCAATTTTATTCTGTAACAAAAGAAAAGACTCAATATTATTCTTTCTGTTTTTGTTTGTTTGTATATTTATTTGTAATGCATTCAGAATTGTGCTATGCAAACGTATTACCACTTATCTTACTCTTCTAAAAAAGATGCACTAATCAAGTTCAAGTAGTAAAACAATAAATTCATAGTTACTCAACCTAAATTGAGGAATTAATATCCCTATAATGATCTTGGGCATTACCACGAACGTGCAACGCGCGTTACAAAACTAGTTATTTTAAGGGAAAATGGAAACTAATAATCCAACCTTTTAGCGGTCTTCTTTTAATAGTCCCACCTTTTCGTTATTCATGAATAATCCAACCTTTGCACCTCATTTTCATTCACTGGTCCCTGACCGGTTGATGACCTGTTATTCCAAGTTATTTTCTTATCTTTGCAAAATATTATATTTGTGAAAGATGGAATTTATGGTATAATAGTTTGCAGAGATAAGAAAATAACTCGGAATAGCAGGTCATCAACCGGTCGGGGACCAATGAATGAAGATGAGATGCAAAGTTTGGATTATTCATGAATAACGAAAAGGTCGGACTATTAAAAGAAGACCGCTAAAAGGTTGGATTATTAATTTCCATTTTCCCTTATTTTAATATACCAAGAGGCCGTTTGACAGCACTGTTTTTCGGCTTATCAGGCTTATCAACCAACTTTTTCACCAAACACGTAACTTTTACTTTCAAGTTTCACACGTTGAGTTGTTAATAAGCAGAAAAAGTAAGATTGGAGTTACTTTTCTGGCTGTTTTGGCTGAAGTTACTGAAGATAACCATTTTAGCTATTTTTACATATAATTTTTTCTTTATTTTATTAATAAAATATATTTTAAAAATAATTGTGTCTTAAATCAGCAGAATCAGCCAATGCAGCCACTTCAGCCAAAACTTTAGAAATTTCAGCAGAATCAGCCAAAGCAACCGATTTTAATGCTACCAAACGGGCTCTAAACTTCATGTCATCAATATTAGCCTTGGCAATGAGATGTTGGGCATTGGAGACATTTTTTTAAGACTACATTCTCAACTCTCAAGCATTGGGGATGCTCTTAAGACCAACCAACAAACAGCGTAAAAAATCACAAGATGTGATAAAATGGAGTAGAAATATTGAATTCAAAGTACTTGATAGAAGTCTATGGATGGACCCGGGCCGGGCCTCGGGTCTGTTTTGTTGGGCCCGAGCCCGAACCGGTGGCCACCGGTTCCGGGTCCGGTTCCGGGCCGGGCCGGGCCGGTCGGGCCACCCGGTCTAATTTTTTTTTTTTCCTTTCTTCCCCCACCCCCCCCCCACCCCCCCAAACCCCCCCAAACCGGCCTAAACAGATAGCCCAAGCCCAACAGCCCAAAACAAATGAAAAAAAATTAAAAAAAATAGATTTGGCCCGGACCCGGGCCCGAACTGGCCGGGCCGGGCCGTCAAAACCATGAACCGAGCCCGGAACCGCCCCACCCCCGGGCCTCCGGCCCGAACCGGACCCGGACCCGGATAACTGGGCCGGGCCGGGCCCGCACAGTAGCGGGTCAGGCCGGTCCCGGGCCGGGCGGCCCGAACCGAGGCCATGCCAGGATAGAACTAAAGGTTTAGCCGTATAGCTGGGAAGGTAAATGAGATATCCAGCACAATTTTTTTTTGGGATAATATCCAGCACAATTGTCACTCCATACATCGACGATTTCATCAGAGCGGCACTAGCAGCAGTTTATGCAGCAAGTATACAACATACAAAAGTAGCCTGCAGCATTGGTTTCAAGATTGAATATTTCAAAATTCAATTCAAGATAGTGAATATTTATACTGAAGTGAGGTTTCCACTGTCATCATGTAATAAAATAGAAGATCACACAGCAGCACTTAGTAAACACCACACCGCATCACAAGTGCATAAACACACTGGCACAGCTTCATCCATCCATACTAACTTCCGATCTTCGGCAAATGTGAAATATTCTGCTGCTTGCTTTAAGAGACAGCTAACTAACTACTTGTATGTCTGAGAAGCATTTTGATTCATGAGATAAGGAGAAAACGATCATCATTTTGAATAAAACAGCAAGTGACTAACTATAAGTTCATGTTGGCAGATTAGCTACCAATAGCTCTGGCCTTTCCATTCCAAATTATTTCCCTTCTCTCTTCTGCATCTTACTCTTCTTACTGCTCTCTACACCTCCATCAATTTCTTCCTCTTCTTGGTCTCAACCACCAATGTCTCCCCCTCTACCTTTTTCCTTTTCTTGCCCTTCTTTCTACTATCTCCCTCAACTGAGTTGCTTTCAGTCTTCACATCCTCGACCTCCTTTATCTTTTCCTCAGCCTTCACCTTCTCAGCACTATGACTCATCTTATCCCGGACATCTTCTATTGTGGCAGCAGCAGCAGCAGAGTCAAGGTCTGTTTTAACCAAATCATTGCTTTTGATATCTGAATCGCGGTTCCCTGGCCTCTTCTTCTTACGTTTATGATGATTCATTTCTGGGCATTCCTCGGACTTCACTACTTCTTCTGCCACACTCCTCAAACTTTTCAGCTGGTTCTCATCACGGGGATGATCCTTTCCAACAGGCCCCGAACTATAGAGATTGTGAAACATAGCCAGCTGATTGAATGCATCAGCGGCGCGGCGAACATATACTGATATGGCATCGGAAGCTCCAGTTTCCGAGGCGGCGAAGCTTGATATGATAGTGGCGGCGTCTGAGAGGGAAACCACCCTTGATGAAATTACTCTCCCTGATATTAACTTCATTCTACACCTAACCTAATGATCTCAAAGGTTTGTGGCGCGGCCGGTCCTGAGCAAATGGGGACCCTGTAAAACAAAATGATTTGGATCATCGTTTCCAATACAAACAGAAAAAGAAAATAAATAAAGATGATGATGATAGTAATACATTCCAGATAATGTGTTATAATTAGGCCTGGGACCGGTTCGGTTCTAGTTAAAAATTATTAGAACCGTTTTAAAAAATGTAATTTTTAAAATCGGTTCGGTTCTAATAGAAAAATAGAGGAACCGTTTTAGAACCGAACAAGGTTCAAACGGTTCGGTTCCGGACTTTTTTCGGTTCCTAAAAATAGTGTAATATTTCTAAAAACAACAATTTAATTTTTTTTTAATGAAAAAATTCTTTCATCAATATCAAACTGTCCAGAACTAGAACATCTAGGCAAAAACTATTCATATATAAGATTTAACAAAGGGTTCATCCAAGTGTGAAATGATCCGCTCATTATTATCTGAAAGCTTTTTTAAGGTCTGAATTCTTCAATTTGCTAGAAGCCGATTGCAACAGAGCAAATTACATTCAACCTGTTAGCTCAAAAACTGAAAGCACATTATTAAAACTATCCCAAGAACTAGCTAGAAGCCGATTTATGCTCTCTGCTCAACATAATTCAACCTGTTAGGCTGTTAGCTCAAAAACTGAAAGCACATTATTAAACCTTTCCAGAGAACTGCTCAAAAACTGAAAGCACATTATTCAACATTCAATTTGCTAGAAGCTGATCTATGCTTTCTGCTCAACATAAAGAACCAGCCAAGTCCAGATGTCACAAGAACTGTGACCTTGCCCCAATCAAATTCTAAGCCATTGCACCTGATCTTCAAGAATATCAGCCTACTCCACAGTGCATTTACCATATGTTTTGGCATAGGCTTCATAAAAAACATAAAAATTTATGCTACATAGAAAACATTCTCACCACTTACCACATCCTCACAATGTATGCTACATGTTTTGGGCCTTTGGCACAGCCTACTCACATTCTCACCACTTAACCACACAATTTAATTTATGCTACAAAAAAAACATTCACAGTTCAAATCATTATAAATACAAATTTTGTCAAACTTAACCATTACACCATACGAACATCCAAAAGTCCAATTGTCCAAACAAAAGTTAATGTTTAAACGAGTCATGAGTGTCTATATATTCTTGATGTCTTTCTCAAAAACATTAAGTGCTTGGACAAATATAATGGTGGACAAATATAGTATTCCAACAAAGTTAGCCTTTTAGAGAGAATGTCCAATTCAAAAACCTGTAAGCAAATAGGATAATCATCCCACTAGATTTAATCTACTCTGCAATGAAAAAAAGTAATAATGAAATACTCCAAAAGAAGAAATTGAAGTAAACCCTATATAAAAATCCACTGAAAAAAATAACTCCAACTAGTTTCTTAGACACCATATTTCAAAGATTAAACCATATTATCATCTCACATAGAGATAATTACTTTAACAACTCATAATAGGAAATAAGGAATAAGGGAAAACCTGGATGATTTGAATACCAAGAGATGGAGCACGATTTAGAGGTTCAATGTCAAAGCTGAGCTAGAAGAGCTCGATTCCTGCAGAGAGTTTCGCCTCGAAGATTCTTGGAGATATGATCGCTGAGTTGCTCGATTCCTGGAGAAGATTTGTCGCTGGATGAGTCGATTCCTGGAGAAGAGTTTCCTATTAGGTTAAAAGTTAAATGTAGAAGTAATTTTCACATCCTTGTTATTTAGTGGGCCGGTCCAGCTTATGTTAAATAAGGCCATCAGGGATTCAGGATATGTATGTAAAGTAATAATACGGTTCTTGTGCAGGAACTCCGGTTTCTACATGGCAGAGGAGTGTTTGGGATTGTTTTAAAAAAAAAACGCTTTTTAGATTTTGGTTTAAAAAAAGTTGAAAAGAGTGTTTTCAAATGAAAGTTTCTGCTTAAATTAATCACTTAAAAGCTAAAAGCTAGAAGCAGGTAGGTAGAAGGGTGTTTTAAACTGCTTCTCACTTTTTCTATTACACAAAAAGTACTTATTTTACCAAGCACTACCAACTTTTACATTTTCAGAATCACTTTTTTCTCAAACACTATCAACTTTTACTATTAATCATTTTTCCCAAAATCACTTTAAAAAATCACTTTTTTAAAGTTGAAGCAATTGCAAACACTCCCTAGTAATGGTAAGAACCGGAACCGAACTGTATTAATATTTTAGGAACCGAACCGAAAATTTGACAAGTAAAAAAAAATTAGGAACCGAACCGAACCGGTAAATTCGGTTCGGTTCGGCTCGGTTTTCCCGATTTTCCGGTTCTAAGTCCCTGGCCTAGTTATAATATAAGTTACTAATTACCATTATAGTAAAAAGTAAAAGTATTCATTAATGAAGTACATTTCATTTAAAAAGAGACATTAAATGATATCAAACTTTCAATGTCAATCTATTGGAGTGTTTCAAACTCTATTGATATAAACGTCAATCCACTTAGCGTATTTTCAGTTGATAGACATCTGTAAATTTTAGAGCATCCTCAATGCATTACTTTCTAGTCCAAGTTAAATATGCCAAATGTCAAATAATTAAAAGGGTGTGTAATTTACATAATACAAAGTGGACTAACCGGACATTTAGGTATGAAAAATACGTCCAACGCATGAAGTCTAAGACCCAAATCAAGTGTATATGTGGCTTTTCTTTTATTAATAAAAAATTATTATCCAACTGCTCTGTACGCTAGCTTCTACGCAAATTTGCTCTTTTTCTATTAATTTCCTCATTACTCCATTGAAGTCATTCGAAGAGCAAGTAAAGAGTAGGCAATTTATGTTGTTAGTGGGTTAATCAAATTGAACGTATATACTTCACGTGAAATAAAACTTTATTTAGTTTCTGGATTTTATCATTCCGTACGTGACTCTCAAACCAGCCTTCTTCCCTGATTTGAGAGAACTAGAGTTCTTTGTGATTTGAAAACCTTGAGAATATAAAGATGTCTGGGATCGGAGTTTTCCTGACGGAGAGTTTTTTTGTTTTCCTCTTTTTAATGGAACGAAGCCTTTTAATTCTGAGTCAGCATGTTTTGGAGGCTTTCTTTACTCGCACAAAGGCCTTCACGGCGTTCAATTTTGTTTTTGCCAGGTCAGCAAAATCCTATAAAGACTATGAGCATTGGAGAGGCTAAAAAATAAAAACTCTCTACGTTAATGACATGGCACACTAAATTCAGACTAAACAGCACCGCATTGCGGTTGCTCTTAGCGGCAAATATGTCACTAACGTCACTTGGCAAGCAACAGTTCGGATGTTAGGACTTAGGATTGCACATGACCACGCAAAATGAAGATGAGATTAAAAGCATGGTGTAATTAAAAACAATTTCCTCTAATAATGTAGTGCTAAAAACTCATATGTACACCGATGGCAATGAAGAGAATGAATCATCTCAAGTTATGTGGGTGGTGAGTAAATGATTTTATAGGTAAATATCATTGAAAAATTGAAAGGATGATCTAATAAGCTGAAAAAGATCATTAATACAATAGAGGGCAGAATGTGTCCTAATCCTACTTTTGTCTCATGAATTGTAACATGTGCGTTTTCAGTTACTGATGAAGGCTTTCTTTATTTCTATTTCAACAGGAACTGTTTTTGTTTTCTTGACTTATTTAGATTTATTGATATATGTCTTATATGGATGCAAATGAAAGTATGAAACACGAGCAAAAAAATTTCTACTGTGAATATGCTATCATTAAAGGTACTATTTGTGATTATTAGAAAATAATATTTTGCTTTAATATCTAGGGAAATTTACTAGGATATGACTAAAACTCAATCAGTTTCTCAATTTATGACCTAACTAGTTTTTATACCTTTGTATGACCAAAAATCCAAAAAAAAATAGAAAATTCGTTCATATTTAAATGTTGAATGACGAAAATACCCTTATTTAAAATATGTGGATTTTGCACTAATTTCGTCCAATTAAAATTAATGCACTTTATATTGTCGTTAATGCACCAAATTAATGCATGACTATACTGCACATCCGGCAATAATCACTGCACTCCCCCTAAAATCAATTCTCTTATTATTCAATTGAGGATTGTTTTTTAAAATTTAGTAATTTTATTATTTTATGTCTAATTAAGTATATTGCATTTCATGATGATATCACTACTTTGTGTTAATGCAACACTAGTCATAATCACAGCACAACAAAATTTCTTAATGCATTCGTTCACTGCCATGTACAACATGTTTATTACCATATATATTCATTGTCAATACTCCACACACATTGAAATGTTCAGTGACGGTGTTCAATGCACATATTTAATGCCCACAATCCCTAAATTCAATATATAACCAAATCTAAAAAAATAGAGACGTTGGACAACCGTTTGGCGTTCAAGGCACCGACTAGTGATGTACGTATTCGTTGTGCTCCTTGTTCTCTTCTGCGATTAGTGCAATTTGAAAATCCACAAACCCAATTCGATCTCTCTCTTGTTTCCCTGCAAATATTCTCTTTTGCATCGATCTTGTTTTTCTTTTCTTTCCGTTGTGTAGAATTAACAGATAATTCACATCAAGTCCACAACCTTTCATTTTGATTGACAGAAACATACCTCCCAATTATTCAAAAAGATACTCCGATCCATAATAGCCAAAGCTTCAGACAAACGGTGCAAACTGGAACGTTCGTTTCTGGTTCACAACTTTACTCCCATGTCGGACTTCGGTGGACAGCGGTGCCGCTTGACGCATTTTGGCCGGCGATCGTGCTCCTGGATGGCGGCTGACGGTGGGCCATGGTGTGGCGGCGGCAGGGAATGTGCAGCGGCAGGCAGATGGATCTCTAGAGGTGGGAGAATGGAAACTAGGGTTGGAGAAAAGAGTAGGAGCTTAGGGTTTTATAGATATAACATAAAGGGTATATTTGTCCACCTATATTATTTAATAAATTAATTAGTACGAATTTAATTAAATATTGGTATTATTTTAGTTAAAAAACTAATTAAGTCATAGATTGAGAAACTCATGGAGTTTTAGTCATATCTAGAGTAATTATTTCTAATATCTATTGTTGATTAGAAGCTTTTTTTGTTGATTTCTAAATATTACGGAGTATGCCTTATGTTTTATGCTCTTTTATCCTACGCCCCGAACTTTTTGAACACACTCGGGATTTGACTTCTTTACATAAACAAAATTTTCTATCGAACATTTTTTACTTAGGACAACGTACTTAATATTATCCTCTTTTTGTTTCTCCTATCCAGATTCAACTATTTCTATTACACCTCAAAATTAATTAAGGTTATAAATTTAATTATAACTGAAAATATTTAGCTAACAAAATCAACAAATAATAGTACGTTTATACCAAATCTCAATAGATAACAGTCAAGTAATCATCTGTTAATATATTGTTGGTCCAAACGTTTTTTTGTATATTAATAATGGTTAACACACTTTCTAGCATCCCACTACATTGTACCTATTTATTGTTTCTCTGGTTGGCCATTCATTTTGACTTACCTGGTATTTGGCCTCTTGCTTGCTATCCGCTGCACACTTTTGTCTGGGCATCACCCGTGACTTCCCTACTCGCCAGGCAGACTATTATTTGAAGTCTTCCTTCTTCTCTGTGAGAGATGGGTGCGAGAAGAGAGTTGAGAGCAGTGTGTTCTCCTTCCCTGAGTCCCCCCTTTGTGTGTGAGCATGGTGAGATGAGTGAATCCAGTGAGTGAGTCAAATTATCCATCCTTCTTGGTGAGGTGAGTGTGAGTGTTGGCGAGGTTAGAAAGGTGTGTTGCTCCCTTAGCCTAGGTGTGCACAAGAGACAACCGGAAAACCGAGCTCCAGACTGCCTGAGCCGGAATACGTCGACGGAATCGATCCTCAACATCATCAATTAAGAATATGACCAATCAAATAATAATAAAATCAATCAATCAATTATTAAACTAATCATATATTTATATCAATCAATTATAGAAAAAGTAAATTAAAAAAACAATTAAGCAAGCCAGTAAGAAATAAGGAAGAAGGGTAACTACTTATTACTGGTTAAGAGGCCGGACTGTGGGAGGTCGTAGGACTGAGGGCGGAAGGAGTACGGATTCGGGAGCACCTGAAGCCTGAGTAGGGCGAGCCGACGAGATAGTGGCCGGAGCTCGACCTGGTCGCAGGACGGTCTGGGCGTAGGGCCGATTTCCGACTTCCGAGAAGAGAGAGCTGGCGAGAAGAGGCGGTCGTCTGTAAAAACGGGAGTGCTGCTAAAGTCTCCGAGTCTGTTACCTGTATTTTATTTAGGGAAAAGGGGCAAAAAAAACCCTGAAGTTGTCATCAAAGGGCATCTATACCCTTAAATTTTATTTTTGTGCAAAAAGCTTTAAAATGTGGGAAAGGAGGGCAATTACCCTCTTTGTTTAACGGTGAACATGCATTTGTTTAACGGTGGACCATGCAACATAAAGTTGCTCCTTTGGCTAGCGTTTACTATGTACGGAGTATAACAAATCAAATAGGAATAGTGCTTTTTCATAAGCATCTATGAAGAAATTAATGATTACAATGACGAATCACTTACTAATTGACTCATTAATAACGGAGTGCTCGCTTGGTGATCCCGTTTTCGGCTTATCAGCCAACTTTTTTATCAAATACGTAATTTTTAGTTTCGCGCAATGAATTGTGTAATAATAAGAAAAGATGAGGTAGAAGTTACTTTTCCGGCTATATTGGTTGAA